CCCAATTATTTGCAGTACTAGATGCGGTCCTGAACACAGACACTGTGTGTTTTTTGTTTTTTTCATATATGGACAAAATTTTATTTAGAATATATTACAAAAATGCTCTCGTCATTCTTCAGATATTACAAAATGCTGGTTTCATTAGGTTTACATAAATATGTTTACAACATATTGCACAAGAATATTTATACAATTATATAACAAGAATATTTATACAACGTATGTATATAACGTACTGCAATATAGGACAGAATGAAACATTTTATCATATATATATATATGATACAAATTTCAGAATTTTGCATTACAGTCTTATTATAAGAACATATTTTCACAAGAATATATTAATTATAATCTATTTTATAATGTTTTATACATTATATAATACATGAATGTATTATATATTACAGAAACGTTATTAGCCTACCTACTATACACAAAATAACTATCTTATATGTTATCAACTATTCCGATCCTCGAACTATTTGGGGCCCCCATTTATAGAAAATAATAAAATAAATTAAAAAAATAAAATTCCTAAAGTCATGTCCAAAATATTAGATTTTTATCAATTTGACTTGATTTTATAAATAAGCATGTTTCGTTATCAAAAATATAGTGTATACATAATATCGTTTATCCAATATCATGTTTCGCAGTATATGCATTATTACACTATCTGGGGCCCCCATATAAAACTCCTAAGGTATGTATACAACAACGTATGTATATAACGTATTGCAATATAGGACAGAATGAAACATTTTATCATATGTATATGATACAAATTTCAGAATTTTGCATTACAGTCTTATTATAAGAACATATTTTCACAAGAATATATTAATTATAAGCTATTTTACAATGTTTTATACCATTATATATAATACATGAATGTATTATATATTACAGAAACGTTATTAGCCTACCTACTATACACAAAATAACTATCTTATATGTTATCAACTATTCCGATCCTCGAACTATTTGGGGCCCCCATTTATAGAAAATAATAAAATAAATTTAAAAAATAAAATTCCTAAAGTCATGTCCAAAATATTAGATTTTTATCAATTTGACTTGATTTTATAAATAAGCATGTTTCGTTATCAAAAATATAGTGTATATATAATATCGTTTATCCAATATCATGTTTCGCAGTATATGCATTATTACACTATCTGGGGCCCCCATATAAAACTCCTAAGGTATGTATACAACAACGTATGTATATAACGTATTGCAATATAGGACAGAATGAAACATTTTATCATATGTATATGATACAAATTTCAGAATTTTGCATTACAGTCTTATTATAAGAACATATTTTCACAAGAATATATTAATTATAAGATATTTTACAATGTTTTATACCATTATATATAATACATGAATGTATTATATATTACAGAAACGTTATTAGCCTACCTACTATACACAAAATAACTATCTTATATGTTATCAACTATTCCGATCCTCGAACTATTTGGGGCCCCCATTTATAGAAAATAATAAAATAAATTTAAAAAATAAAATTCCTAAAGTCATGTCCAAAATATTAGATTTTTATCAATTTGACTTGATTTTATAAATAAGCATGTTTCGTTATCAAAAATATAGTGTATATATAATATCGTTTATCCAATATCATGTTTCGCAGTATATGCATTATTACACTATCTGGGGCCCCCATATAAAACTCCTAAGTCAGGCCTGATTTTGATATGTGCTTAGCATGTAGTTTTAAGTAGATCTGCATACCGCAATTGTTGCTACTGTATTTTTGCCTGATTTTTGCGAATGACCGGATTTTCAATTTAACGACTGGATTTTTTGCTCAAATTTCGCTTTTGAACCAATATTTTTGCTGCGCTTAATTGCTGTCGCCATATTGTAATAATCCGCCATATTGTTAACATTCACCATATATTGTAGCCGCCTAGTCACCATTCTTTTATGTTAACCGCAGGGCCCCACCCCCGTATTTATCAAAATCCACAAACCTTACGACGTCTTCTTTCTTCAGTATCGAGCAATCACACACCGCTGTATGATTACCCTACAATTCCACGTACGAGGTTATTAATAGCACCAATATATCTTTAATAATGCACATTTGCCCAAGATATCCCTCATGATATTGCACGTTTGCCCAGGATATCCACCATGAGAGTGCACATTTGCCCAAGATATCCACCATTATTCTTCAACGATGTGGTAAGGTGGGGTAATTTCATATTTAGTGTTGAAAAAAGGTTTGGGGTTCGATTCTGAGGGGCCTGGTACGTGGATTTCACGCTTGATGCCTTACCTAGCTACTCGAGTTTATCTCACTCGCTCATATTGGCCTTAAACTAGAACCTAAGAGACCTAATGCGCTTGAAATACTAAAATGTGCAAATCCTAGTGTGAAACCCCATTTCCAAGGCACCATTCTAACACAAATGTAACTGACATATTAACAATAAACATGCATGCAGTTTAATTTTTAGCGGAAACATATAACTAGTGATAGCAGTAGCCGCCCTTTATAGCCTGAAAATAGTTGGATGGAAAAAAGGACTATTAGGCTAGGGCATATAGCAATAGCAAGCTGTCCTTTCTAGAAACAGCACTGAAAATATTTGGACAGAAAAAAAAAACTTTTATGCTAAGGCATATAGCAATAGCAAGCTGTCCTTTCTAGAAACAGCACTGAAAATGCTTGGATGAAAAAAGTCAAAAAGAAAAGACTTTTAGGCTAAGGCATATAGCAATAGCACGCTGCCCTTATAGAAACAGCATTGGAAATATTTGGATGGAAAAAAAACTTTTAGGCTAAAGGCCCGGTCACACTACACAACGATAACGATACTATACATTGTAAACACGTGATAATTGGCAAAAAAATTGTGTTAGTGTCAACACTACAACGAAAATGATAAAATTATCGTTTGACGATAACGATAACGATTTTAAAATCGCTCAGCTGAGCGATTTTTTTTTCAGTCGAACGATAACGATAAATTTTTGACCAATCAGCGCGCGTATACAAGTTATCGTATCGTTATCGTTGTGTAGTGTGACCTGAGCTTAAGGCATATAGCAATAGCACGCTGCCCTTATAGAAACTGCATTGAAAATATTTGGATGGAAAAAAGACTTTTAGCCTAAGGCATATAGCAATAGCACGCTGCCCTTACAGAAACAGCATTGAAAATATTTGGATGGAAAAAAGACTTTCAGGCTAAGGCATATAGCAATAGCATGCTGCCCTTATAGAAACAGCACTAAAAATGTTTGGATGAAAAAAAGTCAAAAAGAAAAGACTTTTAGGCTAAGGCATATAACAATAGCTGTCTTTATGCAAACTGTACTAAAACTATTTGGATAGAAAAAAGGACTTTCAGGCCAAGGCATATAGCAATAGCACGCTGCCCTTATAGAAACAGCATTGAAAATATTTGGATAGAAAAAATGACTTTGGGCTAAGGCATATAGCAACAGCAAGCTGCCCTTTATAGAAACAGCACTGAAAATATTTGGATAGAAAAAAGGAATTTTAGGCTAAGGCATAGCAACAGCACGCTGCCCTTTATAGAAACAGCACTGAAATATTTGGATGGGAAAAAAGACTTTAAGTAAGGCTGCAAGCTGCTCTTTGTATTTAACCGATAATGTCTAACCAATCAAAAGCGCGTTACAATACGAGGTGACACAAGTGTTAATCAACCAATCAATATTGCAGTACAGTTTCCGTATGTCACCCTTATAGAAATGACATCTTAGCATTAAACTGCTCGAATTTTGCTAAAGCATATAGCAAAAGCAAACGCTGCTCTTTATAGAAACAGCAATGAACAACATTGCAGTGTAGTGTGTAATTTTATCCTTATAGAAATGACATCTTAACCGTAAATTAACTTTCACAGCTAAAACATAGTGATAGCAATAGCGGACCTTTATAGAAACAGCAACGAAAATATTTGGAAAGAAAAAAATTAGGCTAAGGTATATAGCAATAGTAAGCTGCCCTTTATAGAAACAGCACTTTTTTTAATAGAAAAAAAATTTTTAGGCTAAAGCTTATAGCAATAGCAAGCTTTCCTTTAGAAACAGCACTGAAAATATTTTAAATAGAAAAAATAATTTTTAGGCTAAGGCATATAGCAATAGCAAGCTGCCCTTATAGAAACAGCATTAAAAATATTTTAAATAGAAAAAATAATATAGCAATAGCATGCTGCTTTTATAGAAACAGCATTGAAAATATTTTAAATAGAAGAAATAATTTTTAGGCTAAGGCATATAGCAATAGCAAGCTGCCCTTATAGTAACAGCATTGGAAATATTTTAAATAGAAAAAAAGAATTTTTAGACTACGGCATATAGCAATAGCAAGCTGTCCTTTATAGAAACAGCACTGAAAATATTTTAAATAGAAAAAAATAATTTTTAGGCTAAGGCATATAGCAATAGCACGCTGTCCCTATAGAAACAGCACTGAAAATATTTTAATAGAAAAAGAAGACTGTTTAGCTAAGGCATATAGCAATAGCGAGCTGTTCTTTATAGAAACAGCATTGAAAAAACATTGCAACGTTATTAGATATCCCAAGATACCTGCAACACCTCCAGGCATACAGCACGGACGAACAGTACACCCAAAAAGTGGCGCCTTCTTTTTACACGCACTGTTTGTTCAAGCTGAATAACTGAACGTCTCACAGAGACCTTGGAAAAATAATAAAGTTGAAATGCCACTACCCTGCATGTATGTCTGGGATTTATAATAGCTTTTCGTTCTACTAGTTGCGTCATTTGAATATTTTGCGCGCATGCAGGCTGGATATATGTACGCAGTGTATACCTATTTTTTCATACATAGCATATCAAACGTTAACTCAGCAGCCATTAACATTATATTTGGGTTGCATAAATTCCATAACAGCTTCATCCAATCCCAATCAATGAAGCATACATTGATAAAGCAATGAGAGTATAAACTCATGACCTATCGAACATTATATTTGGACTGTATAAATTCCATAATAGCTTCGTCCAATTTCAATTGAGCATAATATAGCATATAAAATGAGAGTATAAACTCGTAACCTATGAACATTATATTTGGGCTGTATAAATTCCATAATAACTTCCTCCAATTTCAATTAATTAAGCATGCATAATAAAGCACATAAAAATGAGAGTATAAACTCATAAGCTATGAACATCATATTTGGGCTGTATAAATTCCATAATGACTTTATCCAATTTCAATTAATTAAGCATAATAAAGCATATAAAATGCGAGTATAAATTCATAAGCTATGAACATTTTATTTGGGCTGTATAAATTCCATAATGACTTCATCCAATTTCAATTAATTAAGCATAATAAAGCATATAAAATTAGAGTATAAACTCATAAGCTATGAACATTATATTTGGGCTGTGTAGGCTGTATAAATCCCATAATAGTTTCATCCAATTTCAATTAATTAAGAATAATATAGCATACAAAATAAAAGTATGAACTCATGAGCTATGTGGACATTATGGGCTGGCTATAATACTAGCTCAGTATATAGTTTCCTCCAACAAAGCATAAATCACACAAACACGAACATATTTTTTTTTCATTTAAACCGATTTGGAATCATTTTCTCCAAGAGCTGAAGCTCACCGAGGGATATCACGAGTATAAACTTATGAGCCATGAACATATAGATCGGCTCCATTGTTTTCTGCTTCAAATACAGTTCTTAGTGGTAAAATGGTACCATGGAGACAGAGTCTATGAATATCAGGAAAGGCATGCAGTCGAGTGGGGATCTCAACTCTTTCCAATCTTAAAGTCATGGGTCATGATAGATATGAAAATAAAAAACAAAAATACGGGCAATCAAAATAAAATTGTGTAGGTTAAAAAAGCTTGACTGCCTACCGCAGTAATGGGGTGTATTGGGTTTTCCAACGACGCACATTTTCATCTGGATCCATTCTAAAAAAGAATTACAAATTCATTAATTCAAATCAAATTTGTGTTTGTATTAAATTTTTTAAATGAAAATATTTTAAATAGAAAAAGAAGCTGTTTAGCTAAGGCATATAGCAATAGCAAGCTGCCTTTTATAGAAACAGACTGAAAATATTTGAATGGAAAAAAAAAGACTTTTAGACTAAGGCATATAGCAATAGCAAGCTGCCCTTTTATAGGAACAGCATTGAAAATATTTGGATGGAAAAAAGACTTTTATGCTAACGCATATAGCAATAGCAAGCTGCCCTTTATAGAAACAGCACTGAAAATGTTTGGATGAAAAAAAGAAAAGAAATTTAGGCTAAGGCATATATAGCAATAGCAAGCTGCCCTTTATAGAAACAGCACTGAAAATATTTGAATGAAAAAAAAAAGACTTTTAGACTAAGGCATATAGCAATAGCAAGCTGCCCTTTTATAGGAACAGCATTGAAAATATTTGGATGGAAAAAAGACTTTTATGCTAACGCATATAGCAATAGCAAGCTGCCCTTTATAGAAACAGCACTGAAAATGTTTGGATGAAAAAAAGAAAAGAAATTTAGGCTAAGGCATATATAGCAATAGCAAGCTGCCCTTTATAGAAACAGCACTGAAAATATTTGAATGAAAAAAAAAAGACTTTTAGACTAAGGCATATAGCAATAGCAAGCTGCCCTTTTATAGGAACAGCATTGAAAATATTTGGATGGAAAAAAGACTTTTATGCTAACGCATATAGCAATAGCAAGCTGCCCTTTATAGAAACAGCACTGAAAATGTTTGGATGAAAAAAAGAAAAGAAATTTAGGCTAAGGCATATATAGCAATAGCAAGCTGCCCTTTATAGAAACAGCACTGAAAATATTTGAATGAAAAAAAAAAGACTTTTAGACTAAGGCATATAGCAATAGCAAGCTGCCCTTTTATAGGAACAGCATTGAAAATATTTGGATGGAAAAAAGACTTTTATGCTAACGCATATAGCAATAGCAAGCTGCCCTTTATAGAAACAGCACTGAAAATATTTGAATGGAAAAAGGACTTTTAGACTAAGGCATATAGCAATAGCAAGCTGTCCTTTATAGGAACAGCATTGAAAATATTTGGATGGAAAAAAGACTTTTAGGCCAAGGCATATAGCAATAGCAAGCAGCCCTTTTATAGAAACAGCACTGAAAATATTTGAATGGAAAAAAGACTTTTAGGCCAAGGCATATAGCAATAGCAAGCTGCCCTTTTATAGAAACAGCACTGAAAATATTTGAATGGAAAAAAGACTTTTAGGCTAAGGCATATAGCAATAGCAAGCTGCCTTTTATAGAAACAGCACTGAAAATATTTGAATGGAAAAAAGACTTTTAGGCCAAGGCATATAGCAATAGCAAGCTGCCCTTTATAGAAACAGCACTGAAAATATTTGAATGGAAAAAGGACTTTTAGACTAAGGCATATAGCAATAGCAAGCTGCCCTTTTATAGGAACAGCATTGAAAATATTTGGATGGAAAAAGACTTTTAGGCCAAGGCATATAGCAATAGCAAGCTGCCCTTTATAGAAACAGCACTGAAAATATTTGAATGGAAAAAAGACTTTTAGGCCAAGGCATATAGCAATAGCAAGCTGCCCTTTATAGAAACAGCACTGAAAATATTTGAATGGAAAAAAGACTTTAGGCCAAGGCACATAGCAATAGCAAGCTGCCCTTTATAGAAACAGCACTGAAAATATTTGGATGGAAAAAGACTTTTAGACTAAGGCATATAGCAATAGCAAGCTGCTCTTTTATAAGAACAGCATTGAAAATATTTGGATGGAAAAAAGACTTTTAGGCCAAGGCATATAGCAATAGCAAGCTGCCTTTATAGAAACAGCACTGAAAATATTTGAATGGAAAAAAGACTTTTATGCTAAGGCATATAGCAATAGCAAGCTGCCCTTTATAGAAACAGCACTGAAAATATTTGAATGGAAAAGGACTTTTAGGCTAAGGTATATAGCAATAGCAAGCTGTCCTTTATTGAAACAGCACTGAAAATATTTGAATGGAAAAAGGACTTTTAGGCTAAGGCATATAGCAATAGCTGCCCTTATACAAATCAAATTTGTGTTTATATTAAATTTTTTTCGTGCGCTCCAAATTTAGGCCAGGTTATTAACAAAATAAAGGTTTAATGAGTCCGTGTTCTCACAATGTTTTAACTTAATTAAATAGAAATATATATTATACATGTTTGATAGTAAGGTCGCATGACTGCATATGTCAACTCTCATGGGCATGTGCCCTAGTCCTCGTACGACAGCGTGCGGTTGGTTCACCCGAATCAGGAACCGGGGCCGTAACTACTAGGGGATTTTTGGAGGGGGGTGCGACCCCAAAAATATTACTGAACAATTGTACAAAATACGGTACATTAGTTCGAAAATTAGAGAAAAATGGTATGTCCGAAAAACATTTCTTCCCCTCCCACGTCCACAATTTTGGGAAAAGAAATATTAATTAGCAAATTGAAATGTCTGTCGGGCACGACTTCAGCCACGCCCTTTGGTCGGGCAAAACGAGCTCACACCGCCCAGCCGTAATATCGAAGTTACGTACAAGTGCTCGACAACTAAGTCTTTAATAGTGCTTAATTTTGGCGTAGAAGGGAGACCGGATTACCAAGAGAAAGATCTGCCTATTTATTGCCTGGCGACGTCGACAAAAATTATCAAATATTTTTACTCACAAAAAATACGAACTTTTTACATAAAAATAAAAAATACATACCTCAATTCAGTCTTTGAGTTTCTCTTGAAGTCAAGACTCCAACATTTCTTCTTTAATTTCGGTTTAATTTTGATTCCAAAATTCAGGCAAGAATGTGATTTTACTTGACTTCATTAATCCCACGTGGATGAGAATTGTTTAACTAAAATGACAAATATGAAATTTAATTTAGCTCTAAAACACACTGAAACTTTATGGATATGTTCTTCTACTATTTTAAACTAAAGATAACGAAAAGCAATGATAAATTCAGCGAGTTTATGCCAGGACGGGACAAAAATTTAATGCGACATATTTACGCCCAAGCCGGCTTGCGGTCCTCAACTTGAACAAGAATTTTTGAGCACTTTTACTCGCCAAAATTCGACAACTTTATTTAAAAAAAACATTACATACCTTTGAGTTTCACTTGGCGTTGAGAATTCAACATGTCCTCTTTAATTTTGGTTTAATTTTGATTCCAAAGTTCAGGGAAGAATGTGATTTTACTAGACTTCGCCTATCCCACGTGGATGAGAATTTTCACTAAAATGACAAATATTAAATTAAATTTAGCTACAAAACACACTTAATACTTTATGGATATGTTCTTCTACTATTTAAAACTAGAGATAACAAAAAGCAATGCTAAATTCAGCGAGTTTATGCCAGAACAAGACGAAAATCTAATGCGACATATTTAGGCCGAAGTCGGCTTGCGGTCCACAACTTCAACAAGAATTTTTCAACACTTTTACTCGCCAAAATTCTTTAATTTCACATAAAACAAACATTATTATACCTTTGTGTTTCAGTTGGCGTTGAGACTAAAACATTTCTTCTTTAATTTTGGTTTAATTTTGATTCCAAAGTTCAGGCAAGAATGTGATTGTACTCCTTCGTCCATCTCACGTGGCTGAGAATTTTCACTAAAATGATAAATTTTAAAGAAAATTTAGCTACAAAACACACTGAATACTTTATGGATATATTGTTCTACTATTTTAAACTAAAGATAATGAAAGGCAATACTAAAATTCAGCAACTTTATACAAGGACAACTGACAAGACAAAAATCGAATGCGGCGACAAATTAATAGGTCGAGCCGGCTTACAGCCACAACTTCAACAAGAATTTTTGAACACTTTTACTCGCCAAAATACGATAATTTCACATAAACAAACATTACATACCTTTAAGTTTCACTTGGCGTCGAGAATTCAACATTTCTTCTTTAATTTTGGTTTAATTTTGATTCCAAAGTTCAGGGAAGAATGTGATTTTACTAGACTTCGCCTATCCCACGTGGATGAGAATTTTCACTAAAATGACAAATATTAAATTAAATTTAGCTACAAAACACACTTAATACTTTATGGATATGTTCTTCTACTATTTTAAACTAAAGATAACAAAAAGCAATGCTAAATTTAGCGAGTTTATGCCAGAACAAGACGAAAATCTAATGCGACATATTTAGGCCGAAGTCGGCTTGCGGTCCACAACTTCAACAACAATTTTTCAACACTTTTACTCGCCAAAATACGATAATTTCACATAAACAAACATTACATACCACTGACTTTTACTTGGGGTCGAGAATTCAACATTTCTTGTTTAATTTTGCTTTAAAAATCGGCCAAGAATTTAGCGATTTTACTTCGCTCTACTCGACGCCCCAAAATGGAATTAATGCCCGGAAGCTTGAATTTCGTGGCATGGTTGAAAATGGTCACATGATAGATAATGGTCAATTCCTATTGGACGAGACAGGCTTCTATGAAAATTAGTTGAATTCCAATGATTTGATTGGCACATTCACGTGACTGGCTGAAAATACGCACTGCCTATTGGTCAAATTCGAATCCCCAAAGGACAATTGTACAATACATTTGTACGAAATATAGCATAATAAAATATTTCATTGCCTTTTTATTGTTTTAATTAAAAATCTCTTTGTAGACTTCATCAAATCCGGAAGAAACTACAAGTAATAATTTCATAATTAATAAATCGATGAATTTTTAGCGACAATTCGCAATGCAAATGTGTTTTTATGAAATTCATTGAGGGTGGGAAAGGGTATTTTCGTGAGCCGTGAATGGTGAATATTTGTTCGTGTGAAATGTGAAAATCCTAGATTTTAGTGTCGTGAAATGTGATTTGTTCTACAGCCGTGAGGCGTGATTGTTGATAAAAATGCTCCGTGAAATAAGAATTAAGGATGCCTGTTTCGTGAACTGTGATTATTATAGTGATTATTATAATAAACATGATACGCGATAATCAAATTTATATGATCTCACTCGATTGCACAAGAGTAAAAACTTCGGAGGCCTTTCGCGAGGTTCCTGGCGGTGAGGACAAGGTTCCTGGCGGTCAGGACAAGGTTCCTGGCGTTGAGGACAAGGTTCCTGGCGTTGAGGACAAGGTTCCTGGCGGTGAGGACAAGGTTCCTGGCGGTGAGGACAAGGTTCCTGGTGGCGAGGACACGGTTCCTGGCGGTGAGGACACGGTTGCTGGCGGTGAGGACACGGTTCCTGGCACTGAGGACAAGGTTCCTGGCGGTGAGGACAAGGTTCCCGACCCTGAGGACACGGTTCCTGGCGGTGAGGAAAAGGTTCCTGGCGGTGAGGACAAGGTTCCTGGCG